CCGTTACCCCCCCATCCTCCGGGTGGAGCTGCATTTGCCGGGAAGGTCCAACCGCCACTTCCCTCACCTGCAGCTCTGCCCCTGGAGCTCCCATAGGCTGAAAACTGCAGCCAATGGGCGCTGCGGAGGGCGGTGCCTGCAGGCAAGCACAGGGCACAGAGCCACCTGCCCCCTTCCATCCCTCCCCAGGGCATGCGCCACCAACGGGGAGATGCCCCAGGCAAGCCCGCGCACCCCAACCCCCACCCCAGCTCTGAGCCTCCACCCACATCCTAACTCCTGCCCAGACACCAACACCCCCAAGGTAACCTCCTGCCCTGAGCCCACTCCCACATTCCAACCCTCGCCCCCAGCCTAGAGCCCCCTCCTACACACCAAACCTCTCCTCCCCACAGCCTGCACCCAATCCCCAGCCTGCTCCCCTACTCTTAATGGGGCCACTAGTCACTGAGGGCCCCGGGACAAGGTGGGGGGAGCGGTGCTCAGACACTCCAGTGGCAATTCAAAGGGGCCTGGGGCTCCGCCTGTGGCTGTTGCCTCTGGGCCCCTTTGCATGTCCTGTCCCTGAGGCAACCTGCGCCCCCTTTCAGTAGGCCTGAGCTCTCTGAACCCCTCCTTTAGGGCCCACCCCAGAGTGTAGCTGGCCCCACAAAATCTAATAGCCCTGGGCTCCCAAAAAGTTAATCCAGCCGTGGGCAGGAGCTTGGGGGGCATGAAGGGGTGTGGGCTCAGGGAGGGAGTTTGGCTGCAGAAAAGGACTGTGGGCTAGGGAAACGGGTTGAGGGTGCAGGAGGACCCTCAGGGTGTGGGATCCTGCTGCCTCCCAGGTTCCTGGGTGCCCAGGGACGTGCCACACACTGTCCTTGTGCCCTCAATTGACGCCCCTGCAGCTCCCATTGGTCACACTTCTTGGTCAATAGGAGCTGCAGAGCTGGTCCTCAGGGCAGGGGCAATGGGCAGAGCCTCTCTACATCCAGGAACTGCAGGGACCTAGTGGCCACTTCCAGGTGAGCCTGCCTTAGCACTGGCCCCCTGCTGCACCACTGGCCAGACTTTTAACAGTACTGCCCACCAGAGCTGCTATGGTCCCTTTTTGACCAGCTGCTCCAGTCCAAAAACCGGGTGCCTGGCAACCCTAATCATTCACATCCTTGCAGATTACAGGATGGTGTCAATTTCATGCCTATTGCGAGTCACCTGGTGGAAGGTAAGGTTCTCTTATGGCTACTGCTTCCTATTTATTCCCCGCTCTCTCCCATCTTCTCTCTGCGCCTTGGCTTAGAGGAGTGCTCTCTCGAGCAATGTCAACAAAACCATCTGGCCATTTTCCATCCCATTCTTGGCATGACACTACTCAGGGCTGGACATTTCATGTTGGTCTGATTAGCTGAACGTGTTTGCTCATGTGTTAGCCACATGCATTCTATGGCATTTCAGACTTTGAGGGAACATGTGGTTTTGAGGCAGAGGGGTGCCCACTGTAAGCAACCCCTTTCTCCCCCACCAAATAAAATTCCCAAGGACACCGCCTACTGAATCCTTGAGCCTCGCGTAATAAACAGCAAGTGGAGTTGAGGCTGGATTTCCAGCCCATCTGCCCAGCTTTCTTTCATTAGCATCCAGCCTCTCTCTCACTCCAGTTTTGCTAGTTCAGCATTTGACATGTTATCCTAGAGATGCGTATAACTGCCATTGGGTTCTGTTGCCTCCATAGGGACAGCTGTTCAGAGGGCTGCAAAGTTACATCACCCTACTCACTGGAGAAGAGGGGTGGTTTTGTATCAATCCACCGGAGGCTCTTACAGACGACTCCAAACCCACAGCCTTGCATCTGCAAGAGCATTTCTGCTCAGAGGCAGGATCTGTGTACAGGATTGGGGGTGGCACTATGTTAGCAACAAATGGGGGCGCTGCCCCCTTCTTCTCAGACAGCATGGTGGCTATGCAGCTGGCACTCATAAGACCCCTCCTAGGTCCTGCAAGGTCTTCTCAGTTGTCTTCACCAATGCCGTTCAAGCCTGCCAATGGGCCATTTCTTACGGCTTGGCCCTCCAGCCAGGTCCCACTGCACACCCGCTGCGTACCCACTGTCCAAATTAAATGCAAAGGAGCAGACACTCTGCCAGCATTATTAGGCCCAATTTTTCCACCCCTGCTCCAGGCTCTGCAAAGCCCCGTTGCTCTCCTGCAAAGTGCTGCCTCACAGGTCCTTCCTCCCCTGACACTAGCTCCTCCCAAGCTGCTGACCCCTCAGGGTATGTCTACACTACCACCCTAGTTCGAACTAGGATGGTAATGTAGGCAACCGGAGTTGCAAATGAAGCCCGGGATTTGAATTTCCCGGGCTTCATTTGCATAAAGCCGGGCGCCGCCATTTTTAAATGTCCGCTAGTGCGGACTCCGTGCCGCGCGGCTACACGGGGCACGGACTAGGTAGTTCGGACTAGGCTTCCTAGTCCGAACTACCGTTACTCCTCGTTACTTCCTAGTCCGAACTACCTAGTCCGTGCCGCGTGTAGCCGCGTGGCACGGAGTCCGCGCTAGCGGACATTTAAAAATGGCGGCGCCCGGCTTTATGCAAATGAAGCCCGGGAAATTCAAATCCCGGGCTTCATTTGCAACTCCGGTTGCCTACATTACCCTCCTAGTTCGAACTAGGGTGGTAGTGTAGACATACCCTCAGGGTTTTCTCCTTTGGCACCTTCTCCCAGACCTGTTTCCTTCACTCCTGCTGCGCTTTTCCCCTCCGACCCTGTCCCGGTTCCCTCCTGCAGCTTCTCTCAAGCTTGGTCTCAAGTCTTATTTAAAGCTGATAAACCCTCCAGGTGCCATCATGGGCATTAATTGTGTTCGCTAGCTCCACTTAACTCCTTAAGTACCAGTGCAGGGTTCAAACAACATATCATACAATATATATATATAGAGAGAGAGAGAAAGAAATATAGCAAGAGGGATCATCAACGCTTTGGCAGGGACTCAAGAGGACACTGAGGATTAAAGAAAAAGCTTTTTATAAGGGAGCTGGTCACAGCCCCTATATTTAGGTTGCCTCATACTTTCCACTATAAAAGATTTTGTGACTTTTTTTTTTTTTGAGACACTCTCACATCTCCATTGTTTGCAGCAGGCCTTTGAAATTCAGCAGGGAGAAACTACCAGGGCCAGAA